AAAGAGGCAATTTGGCTTCAAGGATTGCTAAAGGAGCTTGGTGTTGAACAAAAAGGTATCACAATTTTTTGTGATAGTCAAAGTGCTATTCAATTAGCGAAGAACCAAGTTTATCATGCAAGGACGAAGCACATTGATGTTCGGTATCATTTCGTACGAGAAATCATAGAAGAAGGTGGAGTCACAGTGAAGAAAATTCATACTACAGAGAATCCTGCTGATATGCTCACAAAAGTGGTGACTACGATCAAGTTTCAATATTGTTTGAATTTGATCAACATTGTTGAACACTGAAGATTGAAGATGAAAACACAACCAAAATTTGTTATTGAGAGAGAATTGAAGATGTGGAATTTTGCCAAGGTGGAGATTTGTTGAAGATGTCAAATTGTCCCACATCGGTTGGGAAGTAGAAATGGGGGGGATTTTCCCCCTATAAAAGAAGGCCTAATGTTTAGGATTTAAATATACCTCTCATTTGCCTTCTTATCTTCTTAAGGCATTTGTATCTTCTCTCTTTAGTATTATTTCACTTGTATTTTTGGAGTGAAATAAAATATTGGTTGTGTCCGAGGAGTAGGCAAAATTAGCCGAACCTCGTAAATTCTGGTGTTCCTTTTATTGTTGCTTTATTGTCTTATTTATTATTTGGTGGCTGTCATAATTTTTGGTATAGTAGTTGTGACTTATTCACACTATATACATTTGACTTTCGCAACAATAAGTACTCCTTCATCTTTAACCAAAGGTCTCGAGTTCGAAACTCTGGGTATGAAGTCGCCTTTGTTAGGGAGCGCTTTACCCCCAATGTGGGATTTTCCGGTGCGAATCCGAATTTAATCGGGCACAATGTGAGTACCGGATACCGGGTAGAAAACCAAAAAAAAAAGTACAGGCATAAATAACTAAGACTACGATAGATCATCAAATGTTATTATTTTCATGTTATCCACGGCTGGAGTAGTGTGAAAGATATGAAATTCAATGCATAACTATAAGATAGCAACATGTCAAGGTTGTAGTACATACAGAAATAAATTGTATGACGGGACAGGAAAAAACAAATACTAGTAACTAGCACAAACTTAATTTTGTGTGGAGTGTAACTTCGACACTATGGCATCAAAAGATAGATGCACCTAACTGAAAGAAACGGATAACTTGATAGTGTCAACCATTAAATTTACAATTATGACCTCAAAATATAATAGTATATATTTATTTTCAGGTCACAAATATTGAGTCGGATTCAAACATAGCTAATAAACTACTCCATCACTATGGATGAGCATACATAAAAAAATGTAATATTATGGAGAATGACAATTTGTGTGAATTAAAATAAATATATTTATGTGTTGTTTGGTAGTTACCTCCATTGAGCCATAAGAGAAGTGGCTTGTTGTGAGGATTGGTAGTGGCCTCAAAAAACCAGTAGAAAAGTGCCCTTCCATGAGTCTCGTTGACAGTAACATATCCAGCATATTGCTTGAAACTCACCGGCGGCTGACCGGGTAATCGGTTTACTCGGTCTGCTTCTTGTTCACCCAAAGCTTTTTCGCTAATCGCTACTACTCCAAAATTCAGAACAACAAGAAGAAGAAGAGGAATATAAAAATATTGCAACATTATATTCTCTCTAGCTACTTGAGTTTTTAGCGGGACAGAGGACTGTGTCTGTGTGTGGTTTATATAGTAGTGAGACAGATAACAAGTGATCTGTCACACTCTTTCATTATTTCCTTCAAATTATTGGTTTCATTTATAATACTATAGGATTTGGATTGTAAGCACTGATTAAAAAAGAATTTTCAGTATAGAGGTTTAATTGTTGCACCAGGTCACCTGATATGGTTTGCAAATTGCAGGTAACCAGTTTATTTTTGCTATGGAAAATTATGAGAAAATGACACCGTATAGCCACTCTCAAAATAATTGCTGAAAAAATGTATATTTTTTTTGTATATATATACATTCTGTATGTTATATAGAAAAATTATATTTTTATACACGTTTTTGACTACCAAATATTAATAGTTTCTGGCACGGACTAAAAGTGAAAAAAGCCCGAAAATTTTGATATTACAATGTTCTTTAGGCTGTCAATGTTTATGAATTCACATTTAATATATATATATATATATATA